TGACCGATAGTGTCCTTAAAAAACAGCTATGGAACAAAACAGCAACAACTATCAGTGTATTAGGCCACATTTTGTGTTCATTCTATATTCTGTATTCACCATTGGCTGCAAATTGTATTTTTTTGTTTTTGACTTGTTTTATTTTATTTTTTTTAGAAAAGTTTTTATTTTTTGTTTTCTTTTTTAGATTGTATTTTTTTTTTAATTTCTTTCTGTAAGACCCTTTTTATCCTTTCCTAGGGATTTTATGCGTCTAATAAAAAAATAAAATAAATATGTTTGCGTGCTTAGCAAACACATGCACCACATAGGTGAAACACATGCCACCACTAACTAATCTGTATTAAACAAACAGCGAGATAGAGGTTAACTGTCGAAATCGCAGACCACTAGCGGTCTGTCTCAAACCCGACAAAAATAACACGCATATAAGTAAACAAATACAAATTCGAGTTGAGAAAGACAAAATAGTGGCTGTACACGGGGAGGGGGGGTACAATACAGACTATATACAAGTATATAAACCAGTGAGCAATTCAATTGAAATTGCGTTAAATGTTTGTATTGTATTCATTGTCCGAGTCGTGAAAGCAAAGTACCGGACAGACAAAAACGTACTCACTTGGGTAATAATATCCCAATCGGTTATCCATGGCATCGGCACCACCATTCCCGTGTTCCAAGTTGTTCTGTTCGGCCTTCGCATCGGAATCCTCGCCGTACTCAACAAAAATACCAAACAGAACGAGAAATATAATTTGGAAAATTACCAGTACCAATGTGAGTTTCCCACGTCTCCGTTTAGGTTCTACCGTCTGTGCCATCTCGGATCGAACCTCGACGTATACGACAGTCTGTAGTAGTTTTACTATGTGGTCAGCTGGTCAGGCTCACTCGATGCATACGCAAAACAGAGTCGGAATCTACCAATTTATCAAGGAACCGGCTGCCCGCCACTGTCGTGTCTGTCGAGGTTTTGCTGTAAATAAAAACTCAACAACACTTCACACACGTGTAAAGATGCTACGGCACGAAGAACGGTAGTGAGTGCACTCACTTTTGCTACTTACATATAGTAAACACCACGACCACTCCACTCGCCGAGCACGTGGCTATTGCAGGTATTGAGTCCATCCCTATGAATGAATGGAATCTCCATTATCAACAATGAGCAACCCGCTTAGCTCTAGCCTCGCGGGGCTCAGTGCAGTTCAACATAGTCTAAAATAATGTCTATTTATTGATCATTTATGAATAAAAAAAACATGTGTTCACGGATTTTATTTGGCAAAATTACGTGACATTATTTTTAAAAATCTGACATAGCTGTGGGAATGAAAACATCGACCCTGTTGGGAAATTTTACTTTGTGAATAACGTTATTTCTAGGGGCGAAAAGTGTTTTTCTTGTAAAACGACGTGATTGTCTTGGCGAAAGAAGCAGTTTTTGGTGCTATTTACGACATATTTGCCCAAAATCGACCAAAAAAATCTTCACTTTTTATTTTTTTAGAAATCTGACCCATGCTTGGGGATTTTTTCTCGAAATAGTTGACACACATCACACAAATTTCGGTTAAAAAAAGTAACCCATTTGTGCTATATACCACCTATACTCTTCCTATTTGAGTGCTCCGGGTTCAAGGGCCCTGCTCATAATTATTCCGAGGTTGTTTTTTTACGTTGACCGTGACATGTTGACGTATCCGTAATACCACCGTGGCCATGCTGGCACGGCAACGGAACGTTTATCATCAAGTTGTTACTCGACTATGTGTTTCATTTTCTTGATTCGACGGTATAAAATGAGAAAACATCTCCCGTCACGGACCAATCCATTACACCGCGACTCAGCTCACAACAACCAACCGTAATCCCTCATTCTCTCAACATGGGAAAAAGAGTGTAAATAACATAGTTGCACGTACATTTCGTATTATCAAACAAAGAACTATCGATTTCACTTTCGTATTGTGAAGAAATGCTTTACTAAATCTAAAAATGTTGTTGTCAACTGCACTTTGGTGAAATAAGATAGTATATTCTTGCGGTGACGTGTGTGTATATTTTCTTCGGTAATTACATACTTACATACTCATTTTCAAATACCCGACAAGCCAACTTGAAGAGATGGCAAGCGTGGTGGTCGTCGCGCAGCGCGTGTTCGAATTTCATGTAAATAAACAATGTATTTTACACGCGTTGTACACGTCGCCATGAGTCCCATATCGAAAAGGACGCGGCGCGACGACCACCGCCATTTAAATTTGCTATATACGTGTCATTTACTCTGGTATCCGAATAATAGATAGACCTAATGTATCACTCATTCCTAAACGAACGTTTAAAAAAAATGATACGGGTGATTTAAAAGTTTCAAAAGGTTGTCGAAATGCCGCGAAAAGAATTCTCCGTCTTCCTTACTGTATTTTATACTATTTTTCGCAAAGTGAATATTCTTCGTTTAACAAATAGTGGTTAATGTTCACAGCGACAACTTTAAAAACGGCGAATTGATACCTACTTGATGCCCGATGTGGGTTAAATAAACATATGTACTGTAGTCACTTGTGGTGATATCAGTTCCCGTGAGAAGTGGTTGATGGTTTTCAGATGTCTTCGAGGTCTATAATGAATATTGGGTTAGAGTTTCAGAAATAACACACGGATCTAAATTGATATTTACGTCGAGGTCAACATCCTTGAACACTCAATTATAATTAAGAAAATGTGATTTCAAATATAAGATACTTGTAACATCGTGCACCTTTGAACAATAAACGATTATAATGATGTATTTTAAAATTAAAATAAATGTCATCTTGCTCGTGTCGAAACATGCGCATTGGATTTCTGGTACGTACTATTAATTACTACTCTGTTATGGCGTAGTACATTAGTTGCGTCCGAACACAGCTCTTTGGCGCGGGGTAAGAGGTCAAAAAATGTCAGTACGGACTAAGAATTGACCCGTTTCAATTTAAAACCTGGTTTCTAGATCCTTGGCCCAAATTAACGGAGTGTATGCGAACAGTTAGCTTGGGCTCAGTAGAGGCTCCGACGAAACATGGCAAATAATATTGTTTTTGATGTCTATTTGAAAGATTCACTATTATAATTATACCTATTTCATTTCATTTCAACGTCAGGGCATCAAATATTGCATTGTTATTGTTTTATAACCACGTCGAAAATGTATACCTCACTGGTTTATTCTACTGAAAAATCCAAGTTAGAAAGACTGAAAATTTGTACAATTTTCGTAAGTTTGGTCGACCCTTGCCCGAACTAAATGTAGGTCTCTAGCGGACTGTGACAGAACTAGGTTTAGCCTCAGTCTGAGGTTTAGCCGATATCAGTGTAAACACATGGAATCAATGTTAATCTTTGCCCGTATATGTCTAACCACGACTATTTCATCGAATGATACTGATGTACTGGTATGCCTAACTCTTGATGACGACAAATTATAATCCCAGATACATAACAGCATTACACAGTATCGATCGACGATATCTACAGATGTCTCTTTAACACGTTTCAGCACATTACAAAACATCTCGATGTTTATAAGCACAATGTACCCCAGTCATATCAAAGGAACTATAATCTAGTATGATGTGTATTTGCGGACGTTGATAGTAACGGTTTTTTGTAATCTTTGTGACCGTCGACCGAACTCCTATATCCATTTGCGTTCAAGTATGTTACCCTTTATGTGGTGTATGAACTTTGAGTGTGTGACCCAGCCGAGTTAAAATAGAAATCGGAAACGACCACCGTTCATAAATACCGGTACTAGCCTGGCTTCACGTAGAACTGCTGGTATTACCAGCTATATCTCTCTATATTTACTATATGATTCATGTATTGTTTCTAGAATCGTACGTTTTTTGTTTTTAAATTTAGAGATATTTTGTCTTGAAAGTAGTATTTGTGTAGGAAACATCGATGTTATCTTGCCCACATGTTTTTCTAGTTAAGTCGAAGCATATATAGAAGGCAGAATTTAATACGTCGAACAAAACCTGTCAACAAGCTGCTCTCTGATTGGTCTGATTGACAGGTTTTAGGATTACATATATGTAGTCAATCTAGCACAATCTTTTAAGTAGCCTTGTATTGATTCTGTTTTTCTGGCACGTAGTCACGGTGATATAGTGTGTCAAAGGTCAGTCTCTTCGTTACCTGGTAGCGTCATTATTTTGTGTCATCGTTTTAGGTATTACTCGACTACAGAGTATATAAAAAAACGAACCTGAGTGGTTGTTGTTAAAATCACGTCATTGCCGGGCCAGTGGGGAAGTTTTGTATAAATATGGCGCCATGTCCGGCAATTGTTGTCCAAATCCTAATTTTTCGATACCTGATTAATGTTTGGGAACTTTTTTCGCGAAAAAAAATACAAACATCTGAGGAGTTTTCTAAAATGATGATTTAAGTTGTACTGATTCCGAGAATATGTCACCGTCGAAATGACTTGGTAAAATTATTCTCTATTTTCCATTGTTGATTGAATTTCAATATAGTAACAAAGATACACAGTGTCGGGGAAAACGCAGTCACAGACTTATTTGTTATATGTCACTTGCAGGTGTTTTCCTATCTTTTAACATGGAGCCAAACCTTTTCACAAATGATTTGTGTGCACCGTGACGCCAACAGGTGGCGATCGACTGCGTACCTTTGACATGCAATTAGTGCGCCACCACGAGACGAGGTATTGCGACATATTGGAGGCGCTGTTTGGCATCGGCGCTTATACAATGTACGAGTATTCAGCTAAACCACAGTCCCTGTGGCTCAACACAGTAGTTATTTATTCCCGGGGTTTATTTTTCTATTCGGTGCAGTTTGTGGCAGCAAGGGGCAAAAATCAAATACAATGTCGAATGCAAAGTGCAATAAAGAGATGGTTTAAATTCAAAACACTGCTGCAAATGAATCTACTTGAAAGTTGTGCTCTGTGAATAGTAACAGGTATTTGAAATTATTGGAGGGTGGGTATGAAGGCTGGAAGAGTGCAACCAGTGTTTTCGTGGTGTCTACTTTTTATACTTACTTGAATGCAACATTTTTTCTGCAACACCAAACATGAATTTTCCTTTTTTTTTCTTGATGGCAATCATTTGGATCACCCTGTCGTTCTCAATAATGAAATTTGAAAAAAAAAATCAATTCGAGTTATATACTAGATAAATGTAGCTTGATTTATCAGTACTACATAATCTGATGGAATCCGTAAAACTAAATTATACCCAATAGATAATCTTGTGATCATTGACAACTACAACCTGCCACTGACTAACTTGATATTGGCATGCATTTATATTTTTAAATCTTGCCAACCACTGTGTAATTGGTCTGAACATTGAAAGGACGATGGTTAACGCATCACGTCCTGTTTGATACGAGCATCCTGAAAATACATCTGGACAAACTTTTTTTTAAACATTTCCAAAATCAAGTGTTGATCTGTAATACTGACGATTTGCAATAATAAAGCATCTATTAGTTCTAGCAGTCCCCCTCAACAATAGAATTTCCTGAAATGGGTGTTGAGGGTCATAGCATGCAGTTAATAACCTTAAAGTACTGTGACTGTGCTGCCTCAAGAATATCTATTGAAGCTTTGAGACAAGTCTTTTTTCTGAGCAAATTTGGCACCAAGACACTAAAGTTCAATTTTAAAGGACGGCAGTTGTCGCGCTGCGCATGTGCGACACTTGTGTTGACGAGCATTGATTTTACCCACAATCCAATACGCTCTTCTAATGGAGATCACAAGTATGAGGTTTTACCTGGACGTGACTTGCACTAATTACTGCCAGTGATTTCTTCAATACCTTCTAATCACCTAAAAATACCTAATCAAAGATTGGTAACGTCTCATTTTGTACTCGTTGATTTGCAAAGTCGCCATTTTTGTTTATACAAGACCCATATATCTCGCGCATGCGTGGCACGACGACTACCGCCTTTTAATGCATGACATTCA